ACGAAATATCTCCTGCCATCAAAAAAACAGTCGTCGCAATCGCGACTAGGCTACCACGTCCTTGTTGACAGTCATAAGTCGGAGATAACTTCGTCTATCTTATAACCGCCATCAACACCAATATCAATGTCAGTTCGGACTAAGTAGGATATTGAGAAGTAAAGCCCACTCTCGACGAACAAAAACCAAACTCTATAAGTCACTCATTATTCCCGCCCCGCTATATCGAGCAGAGGCATGGACGATAACAGCATCTGATGAGTCGACGTTACAAGTTTTTGAGAGAAAGGTTTAGCGAAAGATTTATGGTCCTTTGCACGTTGGCCACGGCAAATATCGCATTCGATAATTCAGCAAATTAAAAGGCAGCGGCTACGCTGGCTAGGTCATGTACGAAAACACTCCAACTCTGAAAGTTTTCGATGTACATATTACCCGCCGAGGGAAGCAGAGGAAGAGGAGACCTCCATTCCGTTGGAAGGACTAAGTGGAGAAGGACCTGGCTTCGCTTGGAATATCCTATGGGCGCCACGTAGCGAAAAGAAGAAACGACTGACGCGCTGTTGTTAACTCGGCTAAAATCGCGTAAGCGGTTTCTACGCCAGTAATGAAGAAGAAGTAGAGGTTCTTAAAGGATTTCTACTAAAAAGATTTTGTTATTGTAGATATGTACATTAAGTCTATTGGAGGGTGGTGACATGGTATCTACGAAGTGGTCCATTTTTCTTTTTGCCAAGGAACATGCGAATAAAGTTTCATTATGATATCTAAATTTTTTTTGTAAATTACCGCTTGCACGTTCATATTTTTTAGTTTTGTTCATATACATATCTCTATACTCGATTCTTCTTATGTGATACAAACACTCGTTAGGTGAGCAAAACTACATACTCTCTCTGTAGCAACTTGTTGCAAGATTGTGACATTGTTTACGCTGAAAACCAGCCTACTGCCTGCTATAGGCTATAAACTGAAACTTCAGGCCACGATTGTACAAAAATCAATTTAGTAAATGACGGATTATAAACAAGTATATACATACATTTATTCGAATAAAAATTCAGAGAAGTCACCATTTTACCTTGCTATACTATTGGGTCGTTCACTAAATAATTCCTTTGATGACAACACTTATCTTACTGAACTGTTTCGTTGCCAACAGCTGATACAGTAAAGCTTTTTTGTAAATTATTTTACATTTTTTGGAAAAATGTTTGTTTAGTGTGCTATGAAAGATTGAAAATCGAAAATAGCATTTTTACTTTTAAAAATCTAGTTTAAGCAAGGCGAAAATTATGTGGTATGTACGGAAAAGAAGCGTTGACCTAAAGCCAATATGTACCAAAATTGGTAAGCAAAATTCCTTTCCGACAAATTCGATATTGAAGACGTATTACGTTATAAAAGGACTCTTGAAATCGATGTGGATAAAATAAAATCGTTATCGATAAAAATCGTCGAAGAAAAAGAGAAGAGCAATCAGAAGAGATTGATGAAAAATTAAATTTGTCTAACGCGACCATTCACAATCATTTGAAACGTTTAAGATTAATTTCGGGGTTTCTCATGTTCTTACAGAACAATAATTGCTTCGTCACATTAACAAAGAAGCGATCCATTTCTAAAGTGCATTGTTACCGGCGACGAAGCGCAATTGATCATGATCTAAAAATAATGAACCAGCTCAAACCACTTCGAAGGCAGATAGTCATCAAAAAACGGTTGTTGTCTGTTTGGTGGGATTTCAAAGGGATCGTTTATTTTGCGCTTTTCCCAACAATATCACGATTAATCCTGAAGTATATTTTCATCAGCTGAGCAAATTGTGTGGTACCCTCAGACAGAAGAGGCCAGAAATCATATAAATGTGATGACTGGCCAAAAGCAAAAAGGTATTGGATCAACATGGTCAATGTATAATTTCAATAAATGTTTTGCACAATAAAAACCGTGTTGAAATTGTACATAAGAAAAACGCAATTACTTAGTGAACGACTCAATATGCTGCTGCGAGCAAAATATACTTGTAATAAGATTTTTAATTTAAATTTCCCGCGAAAACCCATTCGACGATAAATTTTTTTTTTTTCTAGGTGCGAAACGTCACATCAAAATATCATTAGTATTTAGTAATTCGGCAATTTTACCGGTGAGTGAAATTATTCAGCAAAGAAGTTCCGTTAAATTTTTGTACGAAATAAAATTTCTTGGGCAGATATGATCAGAATGTTGAAAAGACCTCCGGCGATAATTTTTTGTCGCGTGCCAGTGTTTTTAATTGGTACAAATTATTCAAAGAGAGTTGAGAACTCGTTGACGACGAAGTTCAAAATACTTTTACGTTTAAGTTAAAATAAGCTGAAACTGAACTAACAGTGAAGGAATTTGGAGTAAAGATAAAAAAAAAGAAAAGAATTGTACACCAAAATGCTAATCATTTATAATAATATATAAATAATGCCATAACGAGCAATATATAGGTCTCTGGAATAAGACAAAATTTTTCATGTTCTAATTATTCAGTTCCTTAAGTCTTCTTCACAAATAATTGATAAATTGTGTAGGATGAGTCCGTGCATAAGCTTCTCAAACCGATCTCATACGGAAGAACATTTCTTAGAACTTCATTAAAAATGTAAAATAAAAAGCACTTATATTATTCTCAATGAGCAGTCTCATTAGAAACCTACTCATTTTTTTTTTTATAAAGAATTACATTTATGACCAATCCAAAATAATTTTTATTTATTTACTAGCTGACCACGCAGGCGTTGTTCTGTGTGAAATTATGTGTTTTGAAATGAAAAGAAAGTTGAATTTATATTCTCTTGAAAATCATTTGTTTGCGATTTGCGGTCCGTAAATGTACAGAGAAGATGGTTTTATACCGACTATTTTTGTATCCTGTTGATTGCCATCTCAAATGCAATTTTTCCTGGAATAAGTTTGAACTGAAATGGCAAATCGTTGGCACTCAAAGCAATTCGTAGAATCCAGCATTCTGCATAAATGTGTTCGATAGCTCTTCACAATCATTACACAGTTTCGGCGCATGAAGATTGCGAAACATAATAATGGCAGATCCTATTTTCAGACGCAAATGATGCGGCGGCATACCAAGCCTCTCCAAAGAATTTAGATATTCCACTTCATTTTCAAAGCGATCGAAATTACCCATTTCACCCATACCCATATCCATATCTCATAATTGACGCGGATTTGAAGGCTGATATTTCGAAATGATCATCACGAAAAGGGTACGAGCTTCAGTGGCATACGAAGTAGCTATCGAATCGTCCATAGTTTGATCCCAGTGATTGTCTGGGTTGAAATACACTCTTTGGTCTTCTCCAAATGAACTACGAGATGTACAATTGCCGGAAAACGTACATGATTTGCAAAAATAAATATCTTACAAATGGCTTCATTGCAGTTCACTTATCGATCTCATCCCGTTCAAGACCAATAACCACCATCTTGCTTTCTTTGGTGACGTACTTACAAAGGTATTTGATCGATTTCATCAAACTGTAATACTCAACATTGATATGAGTTTTGAATGTGAATTAGACAATAAGGGCGAGTATGGTGCGATCCATATATTGTCAACTTCGATATTCACTTCTCTAAATTGAATGCTGAATGTTCTGCCACTGTCGTCTAGTGAGCGACGCCGATCCAGATATATCCATCATTTCCAGTTGGCGTTTCCGAAGGAAAATCGCGTATATAGTGTTTCGTGCATTTATTGTCAGACATACAAACCGAAGTGTGATTTTAATGTCCGCTAGGTCCATGAACCATATTGGTTTTCATCACTTCGTATAATATTTGATTTTTCTCTGCATCAGGAATTTCCGCAGAAATGATTTCAACAATTTGATCTGGTGTAAGAACCATCCACCATCGAAAGAAGAATGTGTGCGTGCAGAAAACCCCTTTTTTGCCACTCAACAGAGTACATCCATCCTTTAACAGCACCATATATACCAACATTACTTCAAGATAAAGTCCATCAAACATCATAGCTGTTGTTTGAAAAGTCATCTTGTGACATCGTGAATTGACCGCAATCCATAACTCCGTACGCACGTCATCGCATCTTGCGAGTACTCGTGCATATGCTTTGAGCTCCTCGTGACATCATAACAAATTTAAATCTGTATTTGACCACTTTGTATGAAACATACATAAAGTTTTCACTGAATAATTTTCAATAATTTACCTTTTCAATAGCCGAAATAAAGAAAGCAAACGACTGAAAATGACAAATTATTTACGTATAAATCAATTGGAAAACAAATCAAAAAAATTAAAAAAAACACGAATTTGTATGGAAAGAAGTCACTTTTGAAATTTTCCAAGTTTCCGACTTTTCCTCATATAAAGTATAAGGGGTTTTAATTTCTAAACCTTCCCAGATCCACAACGAATAATCTCTCCGTTCTCGAGCCTTTGCGTTAGTAACAAAAAACATTTGTATGGGAAAAGGAACAGGGCAGTTTTTAGGTGTTTTCCGACAATAATTCGAATCTTTCTCACTGTAAAAACCATCTTTAGCTTCAACGAACATTTCAAAAAAATTGGTCCAGGGTTGAGTTATGCGCTTAGCACCACATTTTGCGATTTTCGTGTGCAATTTTTTCTTACATAAGAACCTTCTCCTAATAATAACAAATACAACAAAAAAAGAATTAGTGAAATCGGTCTAACCATTCACTCGTGATATTGTGACCAAGAGAAAAAGGGATTCATTTTTATATTTTTAAAATTTTAGAGAATGTTTATTACAGTGTATACCATCGAGTTTTGAAAGTTTCACACTGAGACGATCCCTTAAGACAATAAGAAGTCATAACATAAATAAATTATTGATATTCTAATACCAATATTACACATGTCCTAATAAAGTGTTTTATTATTTCGTAATATATTCTTCCGATCAACATTCGAGTAGTGAGATGTAAAATGAACAGATTTAGTTTTTATTTTCTTTAAAGGTAAATGACTGCTGCCCCTGAACTAAATATTCGTACATAAATGTGGTACTACTACACTTCTTACTCTTTCGATACAACCAACTAACACGAAACAATCAGATATGGCCAATGACGGATACGTTAACAGCGCGTATGTACCTACAAATGCAACAAATACCGCAAATACATCCATACCGGGAGAGTATCGTTCGAGTATCACATTCGAACCGAGTAGAAACGACTACATTGGCCGAATTGTAAGCCAAACATCAATTGATAATATTACACCAAGGTCACAGGTATTTGTAAAGTTGATATATATTAACTTCTTTTAATTAGTTTATTTAAATATATATTTTTACTCTAACATTCATGGCTTCTAAATCGAATATACCTTCTGTAAGCTTATCACCTCTTGTTTATTCTGGTTTCGTCCAAAAACAAAACTCGGTACACCACCCCAAGAATCAAAAAAAAATTTTATTGTGTAAAACATCGATCTAATATATTTTTAATATACATACATACATATTCAATAGAAACCAGGAGAGTTACCCAAACTACCCCATAATGCCGTCGTCGAAGATGCTACCAAACGGCGAGATACTTGGGCCAATGATGTTGAGTTTCTCATGTCCTGCATTGCCCTCTCTGTGGGCTTGGGAAATGTCTGGCGTTTTCCCTTTACTGCACTCGAAAATGGTGGTGGCGCATTCCTAATTCCCTACATCATAGTTTTATTTCTGGTAGGTAAACCTGTTTACTACATGGAAATGTTGTTGGGGCAGTTGTCCAGTCGTGGCAGTATCAAGGTATTTGATTTTTCGCCCATTATGAGAGGTTAGTCCCAAACGCTTACATCAATTAACGTATTCTTTTCCAAAATCGGTGACGATGTTTCCAATTGAAAAACATCTGTCAATTTTAATAAAAGAAACAAATATTGACATTTGTTATATATTTTTAGGCGTCGGTTATGGTCAAGTATTCGCCACCGCTATTGTATCCACATATTATGCCACATTAATGGCCATAACACTTCGTTATTTGATTGAGTCGTGCTATTCGACACTGCCATGGAGTTATTGTCGGGAGGAATGGGGTGACGCTTGCATCAATTCGAAAGTAAACAAATCAAATATTTTCACAAATGAGACCACAGTTAAAACTGCATCAGCGGAGTTTTATTTTACGTAAGTAATCAAAACTTTTGAAGACTATTTAAACCAAATATTTTAATAATTATTATAAATTGTCATATTGTTCACCGGAAATGCTTATATTGCAGTACGAAATATTAGAACAAGAAATCTATGAGAATCAAAACATTTGTTCATATAAGGAGTTTGGCGTGATTGTGGCCCGACTTTTTTCATTTTCAAACTGCATTGTTTATACATGATATTTCAATTTTCTTATATATTTTCTCAAATTTTATTTATTTAGAAAAGTAATTCTTCGTGAAAAAAATTCCATTGATGATGGTATTGGATATCCTAGTTGGTCCTTGGCACTAACGTTAGCCGTTTCATGGGTGGTGATAACAGCTATACTCATAAAAGGCATCAAAAGTTCTGGTAAAGCTTCCTACGTTTTGGCACTTTTTCCCTATGTGGTGTTGTTTATACTTCTCATAAGATCATTGACACTGCCCGGGGCATTTAATGGTGTACTTTACTTTTTAAAGCCGCAATGGAATAAACTTCTAAATCCACAGGTGATCTTATATATTGTAGTCGAAAAAGTCTTTTCATATGTTATCAATAGATGAAGGTATATGTCTCCAGTGTTACAAATCACATTGTGTTGGAAAGGTGAGATTTTAAGCTTCATTTACCCAAAACACATTAAATTCGGGGATATAGCTCTTCAAAAATTAGTGAATATATATTAGTAAAGAAATTCGCTATAATTGTGTACAAAAAACCAGAAATGCCATGCAAGCCACCAATGAAATTTGTGAAGTTTACGGAGACGATGATGTCTCGGTTCGTGTGGCATAACTGGTTCTCTCGCAGACAAAACAAACGGTCAGAACTGATCAACAGAAAGGACTTCGTCTTCCATCAGGACAACGCTAGACCAAACACATCTTTGATGACTCAGCAAAGATTGGGAGAGCTTGGCAGGGAAGTTTTGATTCAACCACCAGATAGCCCTAACCAAAACTGTACATATTTGGTTCATCAAGAATCCTTATAAACATTCAAAAAAAATTATTCGAAGTTTGATTAGAAATACAAAATACTTTTTCGACTACCCAATATTAAAAAACCACTTTCTCTCAACCGTATTAATAATTTATTATTTTTGTGGTTTGCTTTAATAGGTATGGTATGCTGCCATTACACAAGTTTTCTTCTCGCTTGCCATTTGCTTTGGAAATATCATAATGTATGCTTCCTACAACAGATTCCGACACAATATAAAAAGGTAAGAAACCGTAGAATTGAACTAAATGCAAGCATGTACATATATGAATTAAAATTTCCTTATCATCCCATAGGGATTGCACGATAGTGACGACTTTAGACACATTCACCTCTCTGTTTTCTGGCATCATAATATTTGGCATTCTAGGCAATTTGGCGCACGAATCAAATACCACTGATATACAAAATGTTGTTAAAAGCAACACGGGACTCGCGTTCATCTCATATCCAGACGCTATATCTAAGTTTGAATTCCTACCTCAGGTACGCATTACCTTTGCCTTATTTGAAGTTTTGCATTCGAACTGTTATTATTATTTATATTCTATGTAAACAACCAGCTATTCTCCGTGCTCTTCTTCTTGATGCTCTTTGTGCTGGGTATTGGAAGCAATGTGGGCATGGCTTCATGCGTGATGACTGTACTGAAGGATAAGTTCACCAACACTAAAAACTGGGTGATTGCAGTAAGCATAGCTATTGTTTGCTATGTAATCGGTTTGATCTACGTTACGCCCGGTGGACAATATATACTGAATTTTATGGACTTCTTCGGCGCGTCTTTCATTGCTCTTGTTTTGGCGATTTTCGAATTGATTGCTGTTGGTTGGATATACGGTTATTGAAGTCATGTGCTGTATGTAGTCGGTGATATTAACTACAACACTGTTCTTTATATATTACAGGAGTCAAAAACCTTTGCCAAGACGTTTATTTTATGTTGGGTATAAAGACTTCCATTTATTATCGCATTTGCTGGGGTGTTGTAACTCCCGTCTTCATGACGGCCGTCCTTATTTACACATTGTGGAACTACACTCCCTTACAATATAACGGTTACACGTATCAAACGGGATTATATGGTAATATAGAGTATAAACGAAGCTAGTTCCAATAAATCGACATTTTTAATTCAGTTTTAGGTTGGTGTATTTCCGGCTTTGGTATAGGTCAACTGCTCATTTGGGGTGTGGGCGCTGTTTGGAATTGCTCCGATGGTACTATATGTGAACGGATAAAGAAAAGCTTTAAACCCCAAAAAAACTGGGGACCACTAGATCCCGCTACTTTGAAGGAATATCAACTTTTCAAAACCGAAGAACGCACAAATGAAATGTTCAAAAAAACGAGACTTTGTCATAAAATATACGACAACATATTTGGTTAGAACTTTTGGGCACAATATATTTGTACATACATACATATGTGTATATTTATAGATTTATGCTTGTATATGTATATGCATATTTATTATTGTACGAACCTTAGTACTTATGCATTTTTTATATTTTAATCTAAAAATTTAGACATTTCATTTAAACTCGGTTTTATTCCTGGGGCACTAGTTACGTTTATACATATGTACATATATTTGGGAGGTATTTGACCATAAAACAGTATATATTTTAGGAACAAATAATAATGTTATCAATTAAGACGGAAAATCAACATTTCAAGTTGGTCTCACTCACTTTCTGATTAAATGAACATAATTTCGATTGCCATAACGAAAGATATCGCGTAAGCGGTGTCTACGCCAATTAAGAAGAAGAAGATTACGAAAGAAATTTAACCATACGCGAATACTTATAATTCAAATTGTCGACATTTGAAACAAATATAATCAAAAAAAAATCAACAAAAAACTATTTTACAATAAAAAATAAAAAAAAACGTTTAGAAAACGCTCATTACCTTGCTAACTATAGTATTCACAATTATCTTCACACCATTATACCTGTTACATACTTTTCGGCGCTGACTTTAAATTTCAAACTCATTATTTTATTACACCCTGTGTTGTGAGATACGCAAGCGACATCTGTCAAATACTTAAAACGTATATTTATAGCAGAGAACGTCTATC